GAATAATTTGTAAAGTTATAATTTATATTGTTACTACATAATTTTATGATGAATTTTGTAAAAATATTGAATTATTAATAATATGAATATTATTAAATCTATTAATTTTTTGTGTTTTGAATAAATATTTTAAATTTAGTATATAATTTCATTATAACATTTAAATAGTTTTGATTTTTTTTTAATTGAAACTTTCTTTATATAAAAAGTGGGGGAGAGGATAAATAGGAATTAGAGGTAGTTTAGGAGAGAATCTCTCCACTAAATTAGAGATAATTTAAGAGATAAATAGGAGTTAGAGATAATTTCGGTGATAAATAGGAATTAGGGACAATTTAGGAGGAAGTGGGGGAAGGTGGTGCCACTTGGCTAAACATTAGAAAAGCAAATGTTGTTAGAAATAGTTAAGCATATGTGATTTTCTTATTGGTTTAATGGGTAATTATGTGGAATTAAAAAAATCAAAAAACAAAAAATTAGGAAGGGGGTTTGAAGCAATGAGAGGTATGGTGATGTGGACAGACCAAATTTAATATATATATATATATATAGCAGGGACCCGTGCGATGCATGGGAAAATCTAAAAGATTTAATAATTTTGTTTTTCATTTAATGTTGATTTATAAAAAAAATAATTATTGTTAATTGAATATGAATAAATATTTTTTAATAAATTGAGTTTTATTAATAAATTGTAGTAATTTTAATAATTTTTATTCTTTTTATTATTTTTAAATGAAATTTTGATTAATTTGAAATAAATAAAAATAATTATAAAAGCTAACATTTTTATTAATTCCACTAATAATTAACAATTATATAGGAATGACAACAAGGTGGGTTCAGGGTAGGGCACCTCATCCCTTTCCCTGCCCCATAGGCCCATAGTCAAGACACTCTACCCCATCCCCGCCCCGTCCCCAGTATTGGGCGAGCTCAAGTAGAGGTGTAAAGGCATGACACGACCTACATGTGGCCCACACAAAGTGCGAGTCGTGACGTGCTAGTCCACAAGGCATCCCGAGCTGTGCCTCCCTCCTCTAGGATAATTGGGGGGTCAGTTCGGCACGGCCCACGGCTCGAGCCCGTACGGGCCCGTGCCGTGCTGTGGGTTGGGCTGGTCCATGGGCCGGGCCTTGGGCCAGGCCATGTCACATACCAAGCCAAGCTCAAGGCAAGGCACCCACTCCCCATCCAAGGTTTTTAAAATTGGGCCGGATAAGGAACTGTTTTTGGGGTCGAACGATTTGAATGTTCGGTCTGAACAGATGACCCACTTTGACAAAAAAAAAAAATAGAAAAAACACAAAAAAGGCCAAAAACTATTGTCCAGGTTGACGGTTCGATTGCCCAGGTTAGCGGTTGGCTAACCAAATAAACGGTTTTTGGACAACAAGTGGTTTTGAGGTAAAACGGTGTCCGGTTTCCAATTTTTCTGGTCTAACCATTTGGTTTGATCCAGTTTTGAAAACACTGTCCCCGTCAAACCAAATATTCAATTTGATGATAGAAATGATCAAAATGATATATTGAGTATCAACCACATGGTAAATTTATGAAAAAATTGGAAAATTTATTATACTTGTGTAATTTTGAAAATTTATTCAAATTTATTTAAAATTTTATTAAATAATTTATTTTCTTTTTAAATGCTTTACTTACAGAATTATACTAATTTATCTTATAATTTATAATATAAACTAACCAATAATTTCCTTTTTCCAATATTATACTAATTTATCTTAATAATTTGTGTAATTATTTGTTCAAATTATAGTTTTCCATTTACCATAGTCATTTATCTTTACTAATTTTCAATAATTTGCAATGAAAATTACATAATTTTTCAATGGTTTTCCAAAATCTATCAAATGTAATAAATTTTCCTAAAATTTCCAAAACATTCTAGTAATTTTCAATAAATATTTAATGCATTTTATATAAAATTTCAAATACTTTATATCTTTTAATTTCAAAAATGTTATTTTACGAAAATGTAGTTTTATGAAAATTTTTAAATAATTTATTACATTTGTATAACTATGGGATTTATTGATTTTTTTAAATTGTTATTAAATATATTTTTTTATTTGGTAGTTTACTAACAAAATTACACTAATTTATTTTTATTTTTTAATATAAATTAATTAATAATTTCATTTTCTAACATTATAATATTTTGTTCCCCCATTTGTATTTGGTTATTAATTATAATAATAACAATAACTAAAATTTTATACTTTTTGATATTTATTAAATATAATTCTCAATTTTATAGAAATTAGTTAAAGAATTTTCAATTTCTATAAAATGTTGTTAATGAGTTATTTAATAACAGTTTATTAATTTTTGGTAATTTATTAACCGTATTTATTAACTTTTGTTAATAACACTATTTAATAGTCATGAATATGGGTGAGATTAAATATTAATATGAATATTTTAAATGAGAGAGAGTGGATATAGATTGGGAGGGATGCATTTTAGGAATTGATTAATTAGAGAGTGGGACAACATGATACTTTCCTATTGGTTTAAATGAGATACCTTAGGAGAGAGATTATAGGAATATTTTTAGATAGTTGGGTGACATGGCTTAATGGGTGTGGTGGGAAGGGGAGATGAGAGAAAGTCAAAGAGAATGTAGGGTGGGGAAAATGGAGCAAGGAGATGCATGGTGACGAGGACTCGTGCTTTGTTAACCCGAGTTGGTGGGTTTTTGGTAATGGTCAATTGGTTTCGAGTGACAAACTGCGGACTTGATCAGATTGATTTGGTTGGTGAAATAGCCTACAAATGAACTGAATCAGTCATTGAACACTCCTAATTTCAACTAAATTTATAGTTTAATCTCTAATAAATAACAATAGTTTAATCTCCAATAATTATTAAAAATTTATAGCAAACGTACACAATCATTGAAAATATAATAGATATATAATAAAAATACAATAATTACAAAAATATAATAAATACTAAATTAGTCAATAAATAGTGTACTCTTAAATAATAGTTTAATCTCTAATAAGTATTGATCTATAAATTATAAAAAATATATAATTACTAAAAATAAATTTATAACAAATGTACAATAAATACGATAAGTTAAATTTCAAAAGTTAAATAATAGTTGTTTAATCTCCAATAATTATTGATAATTTTCTATTAAACAACAAAAAAATAGATTTATAAATAATTATTGAAAGCATATTTATAAAAACAATAAATAATTATTGAAAATAAAATAAATATTAAATATAGTATATATAAATATATTATTGTAAAATTATTACTAATAAATATAATTTTGTTGATAGTTATTTTTGTAATTATTAATTGATATAAGTGAAATTATTTATTTACAATATTATTTAGTTATTGAAATAATATTGTTATTTAAATTCTTAAAATATTAATTAATTATTAATTTAATAATCCATAAAATTATAATTGTACTATTATTCCATAATTCGTTATTAATTTTGTAAAATATTAAAGTATTATTAATATGAATATTATGAATTCTATTATAATTATTTTTGTACTTTTAAGATTTTTTGTAAATTTATTACATAATTTCTTATTTTAACTATTTAAAATTTTGTCATGTTAAATATTTTGTTATTGAAATATTTAAATAATATGTAAAATGTTTAAAAATTTTCATTATTTACTTTTATTTATTTTAATGTTATTATGTGATATTAAATATGAATATTATTAAATCTATTAATTTTCTAGTGTTTTGAATAAATATTTTAAATTTAGTATACAATTTTGTTATAACATTTAAATAGTTCTGATTTTTTTAATTGAAACTTTATTTAGATAAATATAAATAAAAAGTGGGGGAGAGGATAAATAGGAATTAGAGGTAGTTTAGGAGAGAATCTCTCTACTAAATTAGAGATAATTTAAGAGATAATTTGGAGTTAGAGATAATTTAGTAGATAAATAGAAATTAGAGACAATTTAGGAAGAAGTGGGGGAAAGTGCTGTCACTTGACTAAACATTAGAAAAGAAAATCCTTCTTTCCTTATAGTTGTTAGAAATAATTAAATATACGTGATTTTCTTATTGGTTTAATGGGTAATTATGTGAAATTAAATAAATAAAAAATTAAAAAAATTAAAAAAAGGGGTTTGAAGCAAAAAGAGGGCTGGTGACATGGCAGGACCAATTTTAATATATATAGATTGACATGGTGAGTTTTAAACATTTTATGAAAGGTGAATTTTGAAAAATAAGAAGTTAGTGAAATGGTGAATTTTAGACATTTTGAAAAGTTAATGGTATGTTTAAGAGAAATATTAGACACTTTCCCAAAATTTATTAATTAATTATGTTTATGGTGTCATCACCTGTCCGTTGTCCACCGAGGATGCCAGACATGAGACATGGAAATGCAGCAGAAGATAGGCAATCCTCACTCTTCTGTTTCTGAAGAAAAGACACAGACGGCCATCCGTCCCGGCGACAATGTCGATCGTCGCCGCTTCTGTCGTCCCGTGGACTCGAACCCCACTATTTCCTTGTGTCGCCAATAACAATAGCTTCATCACCCTCCATAGAGATAGTAGTATTTCTTGCCGTTTCACTGTTATTTGGCCAGAAAACCATTTTGTCTGCAAATCATCTACATTTCGTCCGACAGGTTACAGGAAATCCCTAATCTCTAACCGCCGTGCGGCTTCTCTTAACTGTTCTGCTAGTGAGGCAGCGTCACCAGGTGAAAACCGTCCGGAGGATAACCAGTACGACGAGGTTTGTTTCATTTCCCGCCAATTTTCTTTTAACTTTTGAGCTTCTTAATGTTCCTGATTGTTCTTCTTTAATTTTTCTTCTTAATGTTTATTTCTGTTTACTCTATTCGATGGAGTCAGCAAAACAAGGGTTTCTGGGCAAAGTGGAAGGTGAGTTTTTCCTCCTGGTTTGTGTTTCACAAGGGTACCCTTTTCTTCTTCTTTTCCTTTCCTCCAGTTTTGTGGTTCTAATAACTAGATCGCAGCAAGGAAAGAAGTAGTGAAGGTTCATGTTAACTTTTCTGATTAACTGCTTGTACAACCAGAGAGATACGGCAGAAATGAGTTCAAAGCTTGCAAAGCTAGGACTTGCTGCTGTTCTGGCATATGGTTTGTTTGACGGTGTCACATATACGACCTTCTTCATCCTCGCCTTTCTTGGATATGAGAAGAGTACGGGAAAGAATCCTGCTGCAAACCTCAAAGCGCTTTTAGGGGTATGAAAATCCTCCATTAATTTCACAATACTTGATAATCAAATTCTGTTACTTTCTTGTCTCATTGTCTGTGGTGTTAGAATTGGTTTTACTTTTCATTTTGAGTTTTTTTTTTCCAATTATTTTTACATTTTTTTGCGAGTTCTTTGTTACTGGATTTTTGGATTTAATTGAAGATTGGGATTACTATGTGCCAACCAAACTAACACTGAGAATTAAGAACGTTCTAGTTACTGTCATTACATACCGGTGTAGATTGTCATGCTGGGGATATTGAAGTCTGCCAATACTCTTTAGGATTTAGTGGTGGATTTCAAAACATTCCTTTGTATATTATTGATGCATGCTTTTGGAAATTATGTTGGCAATTGAACTTAATTCAAGAATGGGGGAAGGTTTGTAATATAATATCACCCTTTTCCTGTTCTCTATGTATAGAATGGGGGAAGGTTTGGATGGAAAGTAATGCATTATGAAGGTGTAATGTGTTTTTTCTTTGGTTGATTAGTTTCTTTTTTTTCTGTTCCATTCTCTAGCCCTCCCTCTTATCCTTTCTCTTTTTTAAGATTTAAGGCAGGCCTGATCAACTTAAAAAGGTAGTTACCACAAGAGCCGATATTTGCACCCTCTTCAATAATACACAGAAGACTAGGCAATTGAGCAATTCATAAGAAAAATATCATTTTTTTTTCTATTACAAAAAGATGACATGAAACAAGATTACTTTCTGTCCTAAGTTATCTAATTTCTTACCTCTCAAATCTTTGAAGTTCTCAGTCACTCTGTATGTCAATCACTTCAGCTTTCTGAAGGTTCTTGTTGGGCTACATAATGCTAGGAATCACTTCTTGAGAATCTGAAACAATAATGAGCCTTTAAATACCATCATTCTTGGTACCCATGGCAGCAATTTTCTACACTTAGAGAGAGTAGCTGTTATAGGAAACCCAAGCCTCTGTGCATCACCATTGCAGACAAATTGCTCAGAGGATGTTGTAGCAGAACCTAGCAAAAATAACATAGATCAAGAAGGAAAAGAATTTGGAATTGCTGATAATCCTTCAATTTTTGAACTAATGCATTGGCATCACATATGTGTTGGGGTTTTGGGTTGTCATTTTTCCTCCTCTTCTTCTGTGAGTGGGACAGAAATTCCTTCCTACCATAGGTGGATCTGTTGTATAAGCTCTGTCAGGACAAATGCTGCTTGAAAAGATATTGATGTAACTGGTAATAAGGGTTTAGCACTGTCTGTCATGGTTGTATGATGTCTCTAGTGGAAAGAATTTACCCCATGTTTGGTGCAAGGTGCCAACCAGCAGGTTGGTAAGGTCTCCTGCTGGTCATAGCGGAGACTTGGGTTGAATCCCGCCTGCACCTGTGTTGGGGGGGGGGATTATGGGTTGGGGGATGGGCTACCCCCCATTGTGTAATCCTTCAAAAGACATAAAAAAAAAAAGAATTTACCCCATGTTTGGATATAGAACCTGCTCCTTCTTGGTGGTTATGTTTTTGTTATCTTTTGAGGGAATCTCTCCTTAGTCTCTTCTTTTGAGTAATGAAATATACCTTATTTATCAAAAAAAACAAAATATATACAATATCAGAATTTCTTTTAAACTCCATTTTAGCAATGAGAAGAAGGGATCTACCATTTAACATTTGTATGGTAGATACAGTTTACAGTGTTAGATATTAATTGGGTGAGTGCCACTGAAATAGGAGGGCCATTGCCCAATGGTTGGCTTGGCTATCCAGGAATTCTGGGAGAGACAGATAGAATTCATATGGATTTGGCAAATCCTTTCATAAAGAAACAYACAAACACATTCAAAGGAGAATTCTAGASATTATTTCTGTTCTACTTTGACAAGAAATGCACTGGTGGAGGCAACTGAACTCTCTTGGACATATATTAAGCTAAAGCATGATTTAGTGTCTGCAAATGTCAATTGGATCTCATCATCCTATGCAAGTCTAGTAAATTACCATTCAGAGATTGGGAGATTGGGGGAAATAAACCAATTCACCACCCAAGACATACTCTGCCCCATTTATTTTGTTTTATTTTATTTTTTGGAAAGAAAATAGATAGTTGCTAAATAAAATATTGATATGCATGTATATATATTAGGGATGATTATGGGCCAGGCTGGAGGGATGCTCACGGCATAGTTTTCAAGGTGCCAAGGCGAGGCTGGGCATCAGGGGGGCACCTTGTCACCTAGTCGCCTAGGCGATGGATTTTTTTTTTTTTATATAGAAAGCATGGATTTTTTTAAGTTCTTCCTTACTTATTGGTTCAGGTTTTAAAGTCTTTGAGGGTTCAATACAGCATTTAGCAGTGTTTGTATTGATTAAATCCTAACAAATAAGAAAATAATAAAAACAAATTA